GGCCCATTTTTATTACTATTATTATTATTAATTTAGATATTTATTTTTAGTTTTCAACATTCACTTCCACAAAATTTTGAGTTCCAAATTTTCTCCCCATCTCACCACTCCCCCCATCCCAAGACAGCATGCATTCTGAATACCCCTTCCCCTAATCTGCCCTCCCTTCTATCACCCCCCTTTCTCTTATCCCCTTCCCCTTCTATTTTCCTATAGGGCAGGATAGATTTCTATACCCCATTACCTGTATATCTTATTTCCTAGTTGCATGTATAAACAACTTTTAACATTCGTTTTTAAAACTTTGGGTTCCAAATTCTCTCCCTTCCTCCCTCCCTATCCACCCTCATTGAGAAGGCAAGCAACTCCATACAGGTTATACATGTGTAGTCATGCAAAACACTTCCATAGTAGTCATGTTGCGGAAAAACTAACTACATTTTCCCTTCATCCTTTCACTGTGAGCCCATTTTCCCCAGAGCTTCCGTTTTGGGGAAGGGCCCATACCAACCAGATTTAGCCATTATGCCCCCTAGTAAGTACCTCCTCCCACCCCCTTTCAGATCCTCTTTTATATGTTGTCTTCTCCAATTGGAAGGTAAGCTCTTTAAGGGCAGAGACTGTCTTTCTTTTTCTGCTTGTGTTTGTATCTTTATCATTTTACCCAGTGCCTGACCCGTAGAAAAGGCTTCATGATTGCTTTTGGGCTGACTCACTCAAACAATGCGCATGAACAGTACAAAGAAACTTGATGCAAAAAAGAGGTGCTAAGAATCAAGAGAACAGTATGTTTGATGATCACAATTATATAAAGGAAAATAATAGTAGAAGGCATTAGGTCTCACAATGCTCCAATGACCCATTTTGACTTTAGACAACAGATGCTGAATCAGATGCCTCCCCTCCTGGTGGAGAGGCGGTAGATGATGGAGGTAGAATGAAGGACCTGCTGTCAGACATGGTCTGTGTCTCAGTCTGTTTTGCCTGACTCTATTTCTTTGTTACAAGAGAGGGTTCATTCTGTGGAGGCGGAGGGTGGTATTAGGAAATGACAGCAATGTAGATAAAAGCATCAATAAAACATTAAAAAAAAACACTTCAGTCTGAGAAATGCATGGCTGTTTATAAACCACATATATCCTCTGGCTTATTTTCAGTCTGAATCAGCCTTAGATAATGCTGTTGTCATCTGGATTAAACTTGCTAAAGATATGAAGAAAAAAGCCAAGAACAACCCAGAAATCTAAAGGTTCAGATAACTTAAGACAGAATTTAACACCAGGGTACCTATAGCTGAGGATTTCTTTTTCCCCTGAACCTTTCTTTAAAGGGTTATCATAGCTCATGAAGGGATGGAAGGAGACTATGCAGTGAATGGCAAGTGAGTACTAAATCCCATTCTGGACTCGGTGACAAGAGAATAATAAAAAGATTATAGGTAATTTCTGCTCTTGAATTATAGAGGAAGTGCATGGATTCAGTACTGACATAGAAAGGGCCTGCACAGGCTTCTCACCTCTCCTCTCAGTATTGCTGCTATCACTCAGAAGAAGGGAATGAAACGAATGACCTCCAGTGCAGTCACTGAGGGCACTAGAGCTGGACTGAGCCGTCATTAACTGCTGGCAGCTTCCTGAGTCACTGAACACAGTGGCTGTCCTGGGACCCAATGTTGGGGGGTCATTCTGAATATGAACAGTGGAGATAAATTTTGTTATATATACCGTTTAAAGATAAGCAAATTCCATAATAGATTTTTTTTTTTAGATTTAGCTTTACTACTAGGGTACAAATGACTTTTGTGACTTCACCCAATGGGAAGACAGCAAATCCTCAGGGCTGAGTTCTGTCAACACCTTTGCTGTGAGAGGTTTGTTGGGTGTGTGTGTGTATGTGTGTGTGTGTGTGTGTGTGTGTGTGTGTTTAACTTCTGTATTGTATTTCTCTTTTCTTTTCATTATTTCTCCCAATATAGAATAAAGTTCTTAGGAACACAGAACCGAAGAGCAAAGTGCATAAGAAACATATTTTCTATGATGTGTCTGTCATGTTTTCCACTCGCCACAACCATATTCCAAGTAGTCATAATACAAAATATTGTGGGCTCAAGAGAGGACAAATGCATGGAAAACCCTTAAGCTACTATTCACTTTATTCCAGTGACAATAAAAAATAGATCATTCTCAATTAAAGAAATTTAGTCCTAGGCTTACTGAAATAGGTTGTTTTATTAGGCAGTTAATACCTTACATTTGTACAGCACTTTAGTTTAGAAAGTATTTTCACACACATTATTTCATTTGATTCACCCAACACCCCTCCAAGGCAAATGTTACTACTTCTACTTAACTGATGAATAAACCAAGGTTGTAATTTGATCAAGGTCACAAAGTATAGGTGAGACTAGAATCCAAGTCTTTCTGACTCCATTCAGCAATTCCCAGAGTCAGCTTGGTCCAAAAGAGAGAAAGAGATTGTAAAGCATTTCCTTATACAAGCAGGTTGTTGAGTTGTGGCTGACTCTTCATGACCACGTGGACCATAGCACACCAATGGGCTTTCCTTGGCAAAGATAGTGGAGGACTTTGCCATTTCCTTCTCCAGGTGGATTGAGGCAAAGAGAGGTTAAGTGCCTTGCCTGGGGTCACACGGCTAGTAAATGTCTGAGGTCGGATTTGAACTCAGGTCTTCCTGATTGCAGGCCCAGTGCTCTCTCCACTGAGCCATTTAAACTGCCTCTGACTGAACATATGCTATAGGCTAATTAGTATTCTTAAATCCAAGGAAAAAAGGAATCCATTTCAACATTGTGGATTTATTTACATAAAAATTTTTTCATTATAAAAAAGATGCACAAAAAAGTAGAGAATTCCATCATGTAGTTCGGCCCTTTGAATCTAATATCATTTTTGAGGAGGAGAAAAGAGAAAATCACTCTAAGTGACTGGATGGCTGATAGTAGTTATGACAGCTAATGGGGAATGTTGGGGGAGGGGTGCTCTCCTATCTAAAGAAACTAGCATTTAATTCATTAGATTAGAATGGTGGGGGCAGCTAGGTGGCGCAATGGATAGAACACCGGCCCTGGAGTCAGGAGGACCTGAGTTCAAATCCGGCCTCAGACCAAACACTTGACACTTACTAGCTGTGTGACCCTGGGCAAGCCACTTAACCCCAATTGCCTAAAAAAAAAAGATTAGAATGGTGGTCTGTTCAGAATTGACTTAATACTTCTAGACACCCTGTCCCAAATGTACTCAAATGTCTCATGCTAAAGGATCCTAAGAGGGCTGGACTCCTGGAAGGGATGTCACATGGGTCCATATGGTGCACATCTGGACAAAAATTAGGAAGTGAAAGAAATCAACTTCTCAAATCTGTAGGCAGGTGGTTGAAGATCCCCAGGAGGCCTACTTGTGAAGGGCAACTAGGATAGTTGGGAAGTAATGGTTAGTTAGGAACAACAAACATTCTTGCAAAATGATAAGGTGCTAGAACAGGTCAGCATGTACCAAACGGGTGTCAAGAGCAGGGCATCAGGACCTGCCCACCTTTCTCTTGATAATTGTATAATTTCTAAGACACTTAAATCAGATTATTGTAACCAAGACATTTTTAATAATTCACCAAAACGACAGGCAACAGGCTTAAATTAATTAGGCTCCTCAGCCAAATTATGAGGAAGAAATTTACATGAAAATGACTCTTTGGGCTGTAGGTAGGGAAAGGCTGCCAAGGACAATTATGCTGGGGAACCAAATGGGCACCACCTCAGCACGCGGGCAGCAAGATAATGACAAGGTGTTCATAAAATATATGGCAGCAATGAAAAACCAAGGCGAGGAGGTCCTTCCTGCCCATCCATGCCCAAGCCTAGATTAAGGTGCCAAGAGATACAGGGGAAAGGAGAAGCCTGCCAGGCAGGCTGGGGCCAAAGGCTGGAGCATCTCTGGTGGTTTCCAGCAGAGCAGTCAGATGAAAGCAGCAGCCCAGGGAAGTCAGCAGGTGGGGACCACAGAAGCCTCTTGGGGGGGGGGGGGGAAGAGGGGGGGGGTGGATAATTTGGGGCTTCGGATGTGTCCCACAGAAGGTGGGGGCGGCTCTGCCTGTTTGGAATATCTCCCTGCTTCAGAGGTAGGGGAGGGAAGGGGCTCACTTTTCTCCTTCGGGCCGGTATGAATCAGGCAGCTCTGCCCTGGGGGCAAAGCAGGACAGAAAGGGGAGGACCGGCAGAGGATTTGTAAGGGTCCATTCTCCAGGAGGGTCCTGGGGAGTTAAAAATCAGGGCACTGGGTTCAAATTCCTGTTCCCTGTGTGACCTTGGGCCAGTCCTTTTCTCCTCTCTGGGCCTCAATTTCCTCCTCTGTGAATTGAAAGGAGTGGGCTGACCTTGGAAGCCCCTTCCGGCTCTAGAGCTGGGGCCATATGACTTCCTCGATCCTCAGTTTCCTCTCTGTAAAATGGGGGGGCGGGGGCAGAAGGGGGTAGATGACTTTTGCTGTCCCTTCCTTCGTTAGATCTGGGCCTCCGTCTCTTCCACTGTAAAAGGGGGAGGGGACATTGGAAGGCCTTCGAGGCTCCAGACCATCCAGGATGCTCGGACGCTGCCCGGGGCATCTCGGTCCCCGGGGCTGGTAGAAGGACGTCCAATCCTGGGTCTGGAGGTTTTGCTTATTAAGTTCCGGGGTGGGGTGAGGGTAACTGCTGATGGTTAAGAGAGCAAAGACCGTCAGTTCGTGGGTCGCAGGTCATCAGCCCGCCCTCATCCCCGCGGCTCCTCCTCCCTTCCCCACTTCCAGACGCGAGGGCGATGACGCATGCGCGCCTCTGGGTTTGGTTCGGCAGGTGGGGCGGGGTTTGGAAGAGAAGGCCGAGAGGTCCTCGCGCCTGCGCCTGCGCCGCGGCTCCGAGCCGCCAGGGGCCGCTGTGGCTAGTCTCGCGCTGTGCCTCCCTGTGGCCCGGCCCCTCAGGTTCCGGGGCGGGAGGAAGAGGAGGTGTCACGCCTCCCTCTGGTGAGCGGACCTTCCCGTCCGCCGGGGTGAAAGGTCGGGAAGATGGCGACGGCCTTGATAGAGGAGGAGCTGGACAACGAAGACTATTACTCGCTGCTGAACGTGCGCCGGGAGGTGAGGCCCGCGGACCGCCGAGCCTTCCAGGGGGGCGAGCAGGGGGCGCCGCTCCGGCCGAGGCCGCCGCCGCCGCCGGGCGCCTGGGGGCGGCGTGGACGGGGAGGCCGCGTGCGGGGCCCCGCCACCCCACGCCGGCCCTGCCCCGAGACTCAGCGCAGGCTGCCCGTGGTCAAGCGCCCCTGGCCCGGCCGCCCGAGGAGAGCCTTGGGGAGGGGCCTGAGAGCCCCGAATGTCACACCTGGGGAGCGACCTGAGGGCCTTGAATGTCTCACCTGGGGAGGGACCTGAGAACCTTGAATGTCACATCTGGGGATGGGCCTGAGAGCCCCGAATGTCACACCTGGGGAGGGGTCTGAGATCCCCGAATGTCACACCTGGGGAGCGACCTGAGGGCCTTGAATGTCACACTTGGGGAGGGACTTGAGAGCTTTGAATGTCACACCTGGGGCATTGAATGTCTCATCTGTGGAGTGGCATGAAAGCCATTAATGTCTCATCTGGAGAGGTACCTCAGAATATTGAATGGCACATGTGGGGAGGGACTTGAAAGCCATAAGTGTCACACCTGAGGAGGGACGTGACAGCATTGAATGTCACACCTGAGGAGGGACATGACAGCATTGAATGTCACACCTGAGGAGGGACATGGGAGTATTGAATGTCACAGCTGGAGAGGGACCTAAGAGCATTATATATCTCAGACCTGGAAGGGGTCTTAGAACCTTGGCTTCCAGAACTGAGAATATAGAACTGTCAGAACTGAAGGTGCTTTAGAGACCCTCTAGACTAATACTCTTGTTTTTAAAGAGGAGGGACACCAAAAGATATGCACAGGATCACACTAATAGTAAGTGCCAGAGCAGGGACGAGGGAGGAAGTACAAATGTGATTATCCCCATTTTAGAAATGAGAAAATTGATGCTCAAAAATTACTTACCAAGGTCACATAAGGAGTAAATGTTGGAACAGGGAAATTGAACCCTGGTGTTATGACTTTAAGATCAGTGGGTTTCCCCTCCCTTAAAGGCTATTAATAAGCATTTTTAAAAAGGACTAGATTGGGAGTCTGAGGACCTTTGTTTGAATCTGGTTGTCTCTTCCATTTGCTTTACCACCTGTTTGACCTTGGACAAGTCACTTCTCTGGGCCTCAGTTTCCTAATTTGTCATAGGGTCTGGACAAATCTAGAGCCAGAAGGGACCTCAGAGGCCATCTTCTAGTCTGACCCTCTCATTTTTCAGATGAGGAAACTGAGGCCCAGGGAGATGAGTCAACTTGCCCAAGGTCACTCAGGTAGTAGGCATCAGAAGAGGAATCTGAATCCAGGTCTACTGACTTTGGAGCCAGTGTTGTTACCTCTGTCCCCGACTCTTTATAGGATCCTTCCAGATCTGCCTCCACGATCCTATGTCAGTCTTGGTACATTAGGTATCCTTTTGTACTGATCAGGGAAAAGGGCATGAGGGGGAACAAAGGGCTGTGACTTCTTCTCATTTTGTCGTGCATTGCTTAGCCTTGCTTCTGCAGTCATCTTAGTTCTGTACCCCATGTTTTCTGGCAGCGAAACAAAATCTTGCCAGTGTTGGGCAGTATGCACATTGGGTAGTATGACCCTGCTGAACCACAGATTGAAGCTGGTGGCTTATATGTCCTGATTCTGACATTTAAACTCTGACCTTGGGCAAGTCAGTTTCCTCATTTGTGAAGGGAGAGCGCTGGACTAGGCTCTAGTCTTTAAGTTGATAGTGTCTAAGGCTATTTCAGCTGTGACACTCTCTGATTCTCATTTACTGAAAATGTCCTCACCACTAAAACATTTTCTCAGCAACTCTTCATTTTAGTAAGCACGCAACTGGTGAAATAAATGGAATCAGTCAATTACTTCTCACTGGAAAAAAATCTGTACTTGTTCAGGATGAGTAGCTATTTGTAAGGCTGATGATGGCAAAAACAAGTAGCTAAATAGTCATGATTAAATAGTTTACAAATGCACACGTTTAGAGTCTGAAGGAGCCTTAGAGGTCATGTGGTCTCAATCCATCATGGTACAGTTGAGGAAACCGAGGCCTAGAGAGGTACATTCAGACCCAGGCCCTCTGGCTACAAATCCATCACTCTTCTCACTGTACCATCAACAAAGTTATTAGCATTTGGTTAACCTTCCAAGAAGACGTCCTGGTTTCAAAGAAAGCATGTCTGCAGGGTGTTGCCAATGTATTTAAGCTAGCTAAGCTTAAACCTGCACTGAGACTTTCGAGACCCCTCCTCTGTTTTTGCTTTAGCTGAGATTATCTTGTCTTAACATAGGAGAGAAGTTGGGAAGCTAACACTTAGATTTTTGGGGTCCAGATCTTTTCTAGAGGTCATTTCTGAGGTCAGTGAGTAAACATTCATAAAGCACCTACAATGTAGCAGGTACTGTGCTAAGCACTGGAGTTGGTGAGGATCCAGACCTAACACTGGTTAGGTTTAGTGGTTTGGTTGTGATCAGGTTTAGTTTAGAAACCTGGGTTAGTTGACAGAAAAGTAGTATTGACGTCTCTGGCTCTCTGGGCTGTTCAGTCTTGTGTTCTCCAGTCTAATTGGGTAGAACTGTGGGAGAAGGCACTCATTCATATCAATGCTGTTCATTTATATAGTTTCAGAGTTCCAGAGCCAAGTGTGTTCACCAGGTCTTTTTGAAACATGTCATGTGGAAGCAGTTTGAGAGATGAAATGTACAGAAATAACATTTCATTGTAAGCCATTTTTCACATTAAAGATATTATCCCAAGTTTATAGTCCAGTGAATTAAACAGGAGACTAGTCAGACAACCAGCCAAACTGTATTTTGAACATTAGCTGCTTATCCTATAGTCTATAATAAACCTTGGTTTCTTTACCTCTTAGATGAGCATAAGACCCATAGCCTCTGACCCACAGGGTTGTTGTGAGACTCAGATGAGAAAATGTGTGGAAAGCACTTTGTAAATTCTAAAGCGTGACAAGCATGTCCGTTATTATTAACGACTCACTTTCTCTGTGTATCTTAGACTTCCCCTTTTCAGAGTGGAGCCCTCGTCAGCCCATCTCCCACTGGGAATGTGATTTATGACTCCCTGGGCATTTCTCATTGAGTGTGTCAGACACTTAGAGAGAGGTGCTCAAGATCTGACTGATCTCAGGAGGTGATTCTGTGCCTGTAATTTGGCGAAAGAATTCTTTCATAGTGAATCACTATGTTGTTGATCTGTATAGTTTTACAGAAATAAAAATAGATTTCCATCCTAATTCTTTGCTTCTATAAAAATTCGCTAGTATTCTCAATGTCTGAAAATGTCTGAAAGTCATTTAGCATAAACTGGAAAGAACAAACTGGATTTCTTGTTTTATGTCATACTTATATATTACAAATGCTAAATTTTTTGAAAGAAAATTCAGTACATCATAGGAAGTTTGGATTTGCCATTAGTTTATCATGGTTTTGTTCAATGTAATTCTTTTTCTTCTGGGCAAAAAGAAGTTGCCAATCAAAGTGAATGGGTATGATTTCATTTTTCCAAATTAGTACAAGAACAGAGCATATACTAATGACTACAATATAACAGGAAGAATGAATGGATAAAGAATCATGATGAAGATTTAGAGTGATATACATGTAGATATGGCTCTGTTTAGTACTGGAAGGGGCCTCAGGCCAGCTAATTCAGCCCCCTCATTTTACAGATGAGTAAATTCAAGAGCAGAGAAGGGAAGGAACTTGCCCTGGGTTGTGCAGCTAGTAAGTGTTCTGAAACAGGATTAAAAAACTTGGGTCTTCTGACCTCCAGTCCAGCACTCTGTCCACTATGCCATCAAGCTGCCTCTTGTTAAAACACTTCATGGTTGTTGTTGTTTGGTCATTCAATCATGTCTGACTTTTCTCGACCTATGGACCGTAGCATGCCAGGTCCTTCTGTTCTCCACTATCTCCTGAAGTCTGTCCAAGCTCATGTTTGTTGCTTCCATGACACTGTCTATCCATCTCATCCTCTTCCGTCCCCTTTTCCTTTTGCCTTCAGTCTTTCCTACCATCAAAGTCTCCTCCAGAGATTCTCATTATGTGGACAAAATATTTAAGCTTCAGCTTCAGTATCTGACCTTCCACTTAGTAGCTTGAATTAATTTCTTTATTGATTGATTTGATCTCTGTCCAAGGGACTCTCAAAAGTGTTCTCCAGCACCACAGTTCGAAAGCATTGATTCTGTGATGCTCAGCTTTCCTTATAGTCCAACTCTCAAATCCATACATTGCTACTGGAAAAATCGTAGCTTTGACTATATGGATCTTTGTTGGCATAGTGATGTCTCTGTTTTCAGTATGCTGTCCATATTTGCCAGAACTTTCCTTCTAATAAGCAAGCATCTTCTAATTTCATGGCTGCAGTCACCATTTGCAGTGATCTTTGAGCCCAAGAATATAAAATCTGACACTGCTTCCATTTCTTCTCCCTCTTTTCACCAGGAAGTGATGGGACCAATTGCCAAGATCTTAGGTTGTTTGTTTTTTTTATATTAAGCTTCAAGCCAGCTTTCACACTCTCCTTTTTCACCTTCATCAAGAGACTTCTTAATTCTTCTTCACTTTCTGCCATCAGACTGGTATTGTCTGTATATCTGAGATTGTTGATATTCCTCCCAACAACCTTAATTCTGGCTTTTGATTCTTTCAGCTTGGCATTTCACATGATATACTCTGATGTAAGTTAAATAAAGTGACAATATACAGCCCTGTTGTACTCCTTTTCTAATCTTAATCCAATCCATTTTTTCATGTTTGGTTCTAACTGTTGCTTCTTGGCCTATATACAGGTTCCTTAGGAGACAAGTAAAGTGATCTGGTATTCTTATCTCTTTAAGGACTTGCCACGTTTTCTTGTGATCTACACAGTCAGAGGCTTTAGTGTAGTCAATGAAGCAGAAGTAGATATTTTTCTGGAACTCCCTTGCTTTCCCCATATTTGGTCTCTGTTTTCCTC